CAACTCAGTGCTTCGACTGCATCTTCGTCTATGGACAATATATCACTGTCGTCCATGTAAAATGCCAGTGCTGCTGAGATACGAAAATCAGCCGCTTCTGTGACCTGAAATGTTGATTGTGGTTGATCTGAGGGCTGTTGCAGATAGTCGTATATGCGTTGCATCCAAGACATTTCAGATGCCTTTCCAAAAAAAGCCGCCTACGCCATTTCCACGCAGTAAGCTGACTCTATCAGACATTACACCTTGGCGGCTCGGAGACCTCATTCGCGCCGTGTTTCCCCCAATTTCACCTTGTCGAGTAGATCGAGGCCTCTTTACGACTCGACCATCGTCACGTCGAGTTTCCGAGTCTGATAAATGAATGGTTGGCGTCATAATCAGATGCAAGCTAGGGTTCTAATGTTAACTGATGGACAATCTGGACCGAATGGAAAGGACTCTACCTTTACCAGTATCTCATTCACTTCTGAATGCTGGTCTTCGTCTAACGCCAATTCAGCTGATAGACGTCTAAGCGCGCCTGAGAGCTCTTTAATCGCCTCTTTTAAGGTATTTTCGTTCTCTTTCAAATTCTTCCTGCATGGATTCCACAAAGCTTTTGCGACGACGGTCTGTCTCTCGGGCGAAAACGCAATCAATCTTGAGCTGCACGCATCTTTGACCAGGACAGTGCCCAATACACTACCTGCAAATCAGTCGATCGTGGTCAATCATCATACATGAACGCACCCTGTATTTCTTTTGTCGGCATGATAAGCATGCGGTGCTTGCATTTGAGCGAGCTGCTTGCACTGTTGAGCGATCTCCAGGCGGCGACGCACACCTCTTAGCTGGTCCTGCAGGCGAAGGTAAAATTGTTCGGGTTGCCATGCCTCATGCTATGTTTGCGTTTCACAGACAACCTATCGGCTTCCAGGCGTTTTGGAGAGTTTTCGAGCATCGTGCCTGAGTGGTGATGTGCTTGGAAGCAAATGTAATCTCCCCGTTGCCATGCGGGGAGAACGGCAATTACGTCATCGCTAGTCTCGTGCCACTCTACTAGTGCTTTGTTAGCCAGGCACTCTGCTCATGTGGCTATCTCCTGCGCAGTTACAATGGCATCAAAATGGCTTGGCGCTGCGTCATATGTAATCAACCTCAAATTTCTCGTAACTTGGCAATTCTTGCAATAAGGTGTTGGCTGTGATTACCAGACCACAACCTTCATGTACAACACTTTATTGCATTCGGTCAACTAGGCCTAGGATATGCTAGACGAACAATCGCTTTTTGTGTGGCGACCGTAATAACGACCACCTTTGAAGCGGCATCGTGAACGTTTATGAAGTTATTTCCTGAATTTAGCAGCCTTCGCTCGACCTTCCTTCTTGAGACACCGACTGTTTCGTGAGAGAGCAATCGCCTCCTACATCACCGCTAGCGTGTCACACTTCCATCAGCTCTTCTAATGCCTTTGAAGGACGAGTAGGTTCGCCTACATCACGTGAACTTACAATAAGTCATGCCTTGAAATCCCTGCTTTCGAATGATCGCATTATGATTAAAATATTCCAATGGAGACCACGTCCTCGAAGGAACGCCACTACGCTCCCTCAATACGCACCCCTTACAACCATCTCCCACCTATTGCCACGAGATACATATCTGAATTCATGTTAAACAATCCATTTCCGCCACCTTAGTTGTTTCATGCTTCTCTGGACCGAGCAAGCTGTGCCTTTCCATCCGTGTCAGCAAGTTCCTCGCGAGTTGGCATAGTTGGAAACGATATAGTGTAGATTAGAGGAACTCAATATACCGTAAGGGCAAAGCAGCCAGAGGACGGGTGGCTAAAATGCGTGTGTGACCAAGTAGGGCAGAAGCTGTCGATCATCGGGTTACTGGAGAGCTCTGCCAAGGCTGCGACACAGCGATTGGGACGAGCGCCAGGTATGCCAAGTGGATATAGTAACTGCGACTCCAGAGCAGTGCAAGAACTGTTCCTACCAATTGGGCATGCATAGAAGCGTCCCATTCATTGAGCTCTGATTGGATGCTGCCTGACGACGAGAAGGCCATAGGCTTCCCGCCTAGCCCTCTCGGCCTCAGCACTGCTTCTAGTTCACTCACCTAAGGCATTCGGCGTTCACACGCTTTGAAACGCCACCGGGCCACCATGTGCAGGAGTGAGCTTAGGGGAGGCAGAGGATCTAACCCTTCAACGAAGATTAGACAGGAAGGGTTTTTCACGTCTCTTCAGCATATTTTTGTATCCAACCACAAATTCTTAGGTGTCTCTTTGATAAATACACCTGCGTATGTAGTTTCGACTTTGAGGTTGCGCAAGCACCATGGGTTGGTGGTAGAGGTCGATCGACTCTAACAGCAGTGAGCCGAATCTGTGCGTGTTCGGAGAAGAACCGAAGAAAGTTGTCTCGTGACGTCTCGAAGGGCTCATATTCGTAGGTAAGACGAACGAAGGTAATCTAGTTATGGTTCGCGATTTTGAAGAGGTTGCCACGGTCGATCACGGAGGCGAAAGTACGACTTGCACCTTGTCGTTGCTTAGAACTCAGCCACGGATGCGGTGAGAAAAGATGGAACACTCCCTCCAGCGATGTTTAGTGCTCATGAGCCGAAGGATTAGACATGTGGCAGCCATTCGTTCTAGTGTGGTTCACGACGAGATACCTCGGACTGAATGTTGTCGCTAACTTCCTAATCAGGGAGGTCTAGCGACGGAGACACCTCTCGTACTTCTCCGTCTAAGATACCCCTCTTTTAGCTGGCTACTTATTTAGCCATGCCTTTGCTGATGTCCATTACCGCTCCTCGTACATCTTCGCAGTCGACGCTATCTGCTACTAGCAATTTAGCCATCAATCTGTTGCACAACAGCACGACTTTTTCGACGCGTGCGTAAAGCGCAAAGCTTATCGCCACCCGCGGCAAGCTGATTCGATGATTACGTAGAAAAACACTGGAGATGGGAAAATGCCACCATCGTCAAAAGCGCGGCACAGGTGGGCAGCCAAGGAGGACTTACGGCAACCGGCCAAACCATTGTCCTCGGGCTCTCGAGTGCGACGGTCGAATGCTCGAATAATCATCAGCAACGTGTAAAGCGAGCAAGAAGCGCAAGGCAATATGAAAGTTGACCGGATCAGCGGACCGTCAGTCTGTGTATTTACCAACTCTAGCTAATTGAGATGGCGGCTTTTGATAGGTTCAATGATTTGAAGTGCAGAGGATGTAACTCGGCTGCAGTTTGGTAGTAGTGCTGCGGCTGTTGACGGATTTGGCGGATGTCTGCACCTTAACATGGAGACTGACGAAATGGCGAGACTCAGCGGGTTAACAGATCCGCCATGCTCCTGAGGTGTTAATTAAATTCCCTGAATGCCCCGCGGTCTCTTCGTCATGACCACCACCGGATAGGTATACCGATCACCATCAATAAGGGATACTAACATGATGTAATAGCGGAGTAAGGTGGCTTTTCTGTCCTATGTAAATAAGTCCTTCGGCTTACTCGATCATAGTCTCCCAGTTGAGAAACACAGATATCAGTCATAAGATTAAGATCTGTACCATGGCGACAAACGCAAACGCGGAATTCAATAAGCAGAATACCGATACGGACGACATCCCCCAAGGCGGCGATACCGTTGACAATTCATATGCTAGTCGTCCGGGCCAGAAGCAGGTGCCGGTCGTGAAGGATGAGACTCCGGTTGAGCAACCAAATGACGCACGGAACCCTCATTCAGATGAGGCCCTTGGCAAGCATATCAGTATTCTGATTTGACCTTTATTAACATTAATTTAAGAGCATGACGAAGCCGAAGCGATTGACAAAGGTAACATTATCAAGGGTGGTCGTACTCGAGGAGCAACAAAGCCATCAGGGACCTACCGAGAACCAGAGGGCGAGGCAGACCTACCTGCTGATGACGGCACTTCTGCCGTACGTTGAAGGAGGGAGTTTGCGGTAAACATCGATGTAAACTGGATATTAATGCTAGCTACACTATGCACAGCGCACTTTAGGGCGCTTCGATATTCGAGATTAGCTAATCTCGAAGGACAAGAAACATCTTCAAGGGAAATATTCGATTGCCGTAGAAGTTGAAGAGATCCTCTAGTCAGGCAAGTTTCTTCCGTTGATATAGGCCTCCACGTCAGCTTAAAGCCTCCTTCTTCTACTGCCATTCGTTGCATCCGCGTGTTCATTTCTTGAAGCATCGCGATGGCCTGCCAATCTCTCGCGTTCAAAGCCTCCTGCATGCTTCTTTGCATCTCCCGCAAATATTTGATAAATTTCCCTCACTACTTCCCATCCTCGCTGTCTAGATTTAGTGCGACCTCAGTTTTCGCGTGAAGCTTTACTTTCCTAACCTATTTGTTGCCATATACAAAGCGTGACCGGCCTGTTGCTCATGAGGTATTACCAAAGTTTTTGCTGAGTCGACATCATTGGTGTGGCGAAAAACCACGCTGCCTTGGCCCATCGCCCAACTCCGAAAATTGGGAGTCTGTTTCAACTCAACATCCCTCCTTATACCTTCTTCACAGCATACTATGCCAGCTCGGCGTGGCGAACATGACATTTACGGCATTCTCACCAAATGGTTCTTCAAACCCCAGCAGGCTGCGTTTTGCAGATCCTTGTATTCTTGCAGTCTGCGATGCGATGCAGGTAGTCAATTCCGTATAACTTGAGAGACTTGTCGGAGTTGGCTTTCAGCTAAGATGCATATTCTCGCAGAATTTTGCTATCAGAGCAATAAGTATCATTAAAGTGAGGATTCTCCACCGGCTGAATTTGTTGAGGTCGTAGATATACTTTATGACCTTGTCCGTAGAACCCTCTAAAGGATTGGCCCAATTCCTTTTTTTGGTGATCTTACAAATCCTCTCCGACTCGACCATTGGTCCTCAACCAGACATGAAAGTATTGCAATTACGCGTACCGGTCCTCAACCGGATCGTTCAATGTCTTACCCAGGCTCATGCCAACCTCCACATCCATCATAACCTGCTTGCGGCTGACAGCTAGCAAATCATCATCAAACTCGATTCGTCCCTTTTCAAAAGCAACTATAATACTTGACCCGCCGAACTGAAAGAGGCCCACCTCTTCCCCTTTTTGGATCTGGTAGCCAACTGTCTGGTATTTCTCATTGATGTCGACGGTACCGACATTCGTCGCACCAATTGCCACGTACAATACCTTGCCAAAATCGACTGTGTTGATACAGATGCAGCACCGTGCATTCTCCGTCAAGATATCTACGTCACTCTGTAAACAGACGGGGTCGACCTGGTAATATTGTCCTGGAATGGCTTTATACCAACCAATTGTGCCTCTCACTGGCGAATGATACCGATGATAATCATGTGGGCTCAACCGAAAGCTGGCCACAGCACCATTAGACCACGACTGAGCAAACACGTCGTCTTTAACTAAATTTGCAATTGTGAAGTTATGTCCTTTGATCCATAGTCGTCGTGTTTCAGCGACAGATGGGTAGACCACGAGCCTAGAGTCTGCAACCACAACTGCCTTACTCGGATCATCCTCTTCAAAGATGGGCCGGTGGCTAGATTTGTGTTTGCGTACAAAAAAGTCTTCAAAAGTGCTATACTTGTTGATATCAGAGGGGTCGAAGTCATCCATATTAATATGATAGAAGTCGACAAATGACTTGATTCGTAAAGCCGACGACGGCGTGCCTTCCTTTTTACCTATCTGCCTTTAGTGATACTAGAATAGCTTTTTCAATTGTTATATTTCCTGACATACCTTCCTATATAGTCTTGTCGTGAATCCACAGCCGCATCGCTTAGGTAACGTCAACCCATTCGACGAAACGACTGAACAGGAAAAGTAGTTTGATTTTCTTTAAGATAGGTTGTTGTTTACGACCTTGTTTCCCTGTCTTGCGGTTGATAGTTCGCCAGCCGACCTCTTGGTTCTTTATCAATTTGACCGACGATAAGCAATAGTCAAGGATTTGGTGGAAGAAATTCATTGCGACAGGCGTATACTACTTTCCTTGCTGATGGAAGAAATGCTTATTTTGGGAGTAAGGAGGGGAAAACGGTGGTCGTGGACCATAACAATAATCACAACACGAGGCAGAAGGGTTGAAGTTATTCAGCCTTTTAAGGTGATACCCCAAGCCATGACGTTGTTTGTAGCGCATCTCAGGCGGATCCTGAGAAATGTGCTAATCGCACTAGCGCTCCAACTACATGCAGCAGCAGTCCAAACCTGCGTCGTACAATATTGACAGGAGTTTTGCCTGCGCTCTGCTGGTCGAACACGCGTCAACGTCGGAGCCTGCATAATCAGATTCCAGGTGTTTGTTATCACAGCTTTTGGAGGGGTCATCTACATCTACCGGCAGCGAACCATAACCCACTAGCTCGCAGCATTAGTTGATCGAAGGTTGTGTCCCGAGAAGCTGGAACAGATACTACTAGACAGAGGGGCTAACTTCAATGCTCATGGAGGATATGCTATCGTGAAATCATTCAAGCAGCTGTATGGGCCCTTTTGGCGGCTTTGCCCGCCATTTTTGTCAGCTGTGTGAGGGAGAGGTTCTGCGCATAAGCTTTAGCTCTTGAAGCGCGTAACCAAAAGGGACAACACATCCAGAAGCTGCTCCGGAATACCCACCGATGGAGAGTGGAGGAAGCATCTAGCTTAGATTCTGGCTTGTGGAAATTAGTCAAATGGGCGAAGGGTAGACACGATGTTACACCCACGTGTACACCGATGCTTAAAAAGCGGGAAGGAGGACTTGCTCGTTAGGCCCAGGAAAAGGCGGAAACCTTACGCCAATCCTTTTTCCCGCTATGGCTGAGAGCTGACCTGGCAGATATCAACGGATTCGAGTACGCGGAGCCGTTTGAATGCCCGGAAATCACACCATCTGAGATCGAAAGAGCAGTTCGAAAGGCAGCACCTAACAAGATGCCGGGCACAGATGACATCCCGAACAACATCCTCCACCGGACGCTAGACCTCATCTTGCCCCATCTCCACAGACTCTTCAACGCCTGTCTCCAGCAGGGATACTGCCCGACACATCTCAGACAGAGTCTCACGGTGGTTCTCCGAAACCCCGGAAAAGATGACTACACCCAGCCGAAATCGTAACCGCCGATTGCCCTTCTCTCTAGGCTACGAAAGTTCGAATAGCATTATCTGAATTGCGTCTTGGACGTATCATCAAGCTCCTAATTGATTATCTAAAACTTCAAGAGATATATCAGAACGATTCTCTTCCTGCACTTTTGATTTGTTCCGAGCCTGGAACGGCCACCGCTATCATTAGGCGCCGATCTTAAGTCCGACCGAGTGGGAGAGTACAATAAAGCAGGGTATTGGCACGCTTGCGTCATCATGTCGTGGCTCACTGAGCGGATCTAAGCAAAACGCCAGGTACATCCTGATATTGCCAAAAACCGATTAGCTGCTTAATTCGATGGTGGCTGTTATAGGAGAGGCAACGAAAAGGTTCTTCGTGGAAATTTTGCCCGGCCTTTCGCCCCACTGTTGCATATTCACGAATCAAAATCAAGGACCGGGAATTTATCCCTTCCGGTTTCAACTTTCAGGTGCATGGATGTGCATGCGCAATTATGTCATGTTCATACATGGGACCTCCAAAGAATGGGTTAGTTTGACATGCGCCACGTAGGGCGATAAAACGAATTAATCGAGCAAACGAGGGCCAAGGAGCCCAAAACTGAAATAGCAGCTCCGATATTTCCACAAAACTACCTTTGATTTATTGTGCCAGAAGATGACGTTGCATTGGGATTGTAAGGGCTTCTGTTATCTTGTTTTTTTCGTTCCGCGTTATGCCCCTTGACGGATAGGTCTAGTGAAAGAAGCATACAGCTCGGGAAACCGTCAACCTTTCCTTCTGTTCGGCATAATAGATTTGGACAAACATATTTTCAACCCTCAGCAACTGATAGTCCACGACCCAAAATGCTCGTTGGAACCCATTACTTACCTCATTACTTGAATGTTCCCCAACAATCAGGCAAATGCGGTAAGCCTGCAAGATGAGTTCAAAGACATCTACCGTATTTTCGAAGTCAACTGAGGCTTCTTCATCAACGAAACGCCGTCGCAAAGTCGCAGTGGCGTGTATCGCCTGCAAAATTCGTAGAATTAGGGTGAGTTGTCATTTCATGCTCGCCACGACTAGCGATAACGCATATCATTCAGTGTTCAGGAAGTGCTCCTTGTGAGACTTGCGCCTCGTCCGACATCAAATGTATTATTGACGAAACTCTCGACAACAGAAGAAGGGTTGCGTTAAACCGGAGACTTGAGGAATCCTTCCACTACAAATGGATTCTGGAAGCTCTTTTATTATGCCTCCGAAACTGTCGAGGGAAGCACCTGGTCGCCACTCTTGAGTCACTATCGAATGACTCTCCCATGCCACTCCTGGCTGCTGCACTCTGCTCACTTTTAGGGCAATGTTCGGTCTCAGCAGGAAACGGCAAGGAAATTGCAGAACTTCAACAGAACCTGGCCAACTATGTTCAGGAGAATCAGTCTGTGATATCTAGCATGTCAGGGCATGATCTCAACAATCTGACTTCCGAGGACAACGAACCACAAATTAGCGACGAGCTGACGCCACCCACAAAACCTCCGAGGTCTGCAACGGCTTTGAAGCAAGATTCCAGTTCCCGCAATCCATACCTACCGATCGACAGTTCACCCGATTTCCCTTTCATGACGCCCTGCAGTTTCTTTGGGGAGCCCCCTCCGCTTTCAGGAAGTCTTGGCAATGATGTCGCATCAGCTGCAGAAGATATTGGCTTGAACGTAATCATCAACTATATGAAGAGGGCTTGTATGGAAATATCCAGGCACGATCTTTTCGAGGGCTACCTCGCGCACTGTAGTGGGTTCGGTTTGACGTCAATTGATACAGCAGGCTAACTCTTTCCTCAGCTTCGGGACATAACGAAGAGTTGAAGGAAGCGAATGAGGATTCAAACCGTCAGGAACGGGAGCGCAAACGATCATCTCCAAACTTCATGGTAAGTTCAAACACCCGCCACACCCCATAAAGTATGGAGCTCACCAACACATAACTTGTCTAGTGCCATAGCGGACCCGAAGAGAATGCTTCCAAGTCGAAGAAGCGTCCACTATCGACAATCATAATGCCGCCTTCCCGTACTCCATTCACAGAGATCCTAGCTACCACTGTGCTACCATCCAGTGTCACCAGCTCTCGTCGACCTTCGACAACGTCCTCAGCAGTCTACTCAAGTTTCACAGATCATTCTCCACTCTCAGAGTACACCTTCCATCTACAAAAAGAGGATACTTGGCCACGTCGGCAGACAGGACATTATACGGCGATTCCTCAAGTCGAGCTAAACGATCATCCGATGGCTTGTGCAATAACTAGTTTCATGGATCTTGCCCGAACAATGCTGACGCAAGGGAAACCGATTCAAGAGATCTTTGGTCCCGAGAGAGCTATTGTCGATTTGCTATTCAGAAAAAGAAGACAGTCCGACCCCCATTCTGTATGTCATTTTGCAGCCGAGTTATGCGCAGGTATCAAAGACATGGAAATGCCTGCCAAGTTGGGCATAACCTTCATGTACATCTATTTACTACGGGTATGTGGCCGGGTTAGCTGTGACGTCGCTTGTATTTGCTGACGGTGATATCTAGTGGATGATCCTACCTTCATCAGACAGTTACAGCAAGGTGCCCGACATATATCGTCCTACGCGGATGCAGATCAGCGTTCCCCATTGCGCCATCATCGAGTTCTGCCCTTTCCCTCTACTTCGCGATGCTTTGTGTCGTCGTAACCGGGATTTCCTGACCACGTTTGCGAGCAACATCAGTTGTAATTGGCCATACCCGACAGAAACGTGCATAGAGCGGGACCCTAGAACAGGGCATATCATGCTCACGGATGATTTTGCACGACATTCTCTGGATGCTGGACACTGGACAGTGCAGCCGGTTGTTTTTGAGACCTTTCCTGAATGTCGAGGTCTCATCAGGACTTTTTCTTGATTTCTTCAGCGTATGATTACCCCAATATCCGGAACAGCCAAAGGTGTCGTTCCTCAGAGAAAGAAGCGATACTAGGATGCGGCGTGCTTGTGGTGAACGAGGCATCAACAGTGGACAGGTATTACCTGCCGATGACGCATTCCCTATGGATGATGAGTTACGAACTGAGGACGCGCCAAAGGAGCACGAGGGAAGACAGTGACCGATCGAAGTGATACTGACCAATACTCATTCCAATAGCCAAGATTGAACTGCTCTCGAGTAGCATGGTTCCAGGTATCGCAGAACGTGGCACGGTCTAATTCGCGCTGCGAATTGAACTGCTCCTCTGAATTGGGCACAGCCAGAGCAAAACGCCAGAAAATCATCATGGTGCGCTGCAATCAGGTCGCTAGCCCATAAGAGTCGCCGTCGAAGCTCAATTTTGGCCATTAGACATACAACAAACCGGTCCCATAAAGGGTCACAGTGGTAAATTGTCCGCTCCATCTGCACTCGTGTACCGCATTCTTGAATGATAGCCATATCAAAAGCCCGGCTGGAAACACATTGAGAATTGACCGGGGTGCACTTTTGCAACCTAGACTATCAAATTCATAATTCTAATTCCAAAGCCTTAGCAGCCCACAACATTAATTGGTGATCCTCAATGTAGATGAGATGTTTTTGATGTCAGTAGTGAAATCGCAGAGTCGAATCGCAAAATCACTTTGCACGGAGACCATAGAGCCTTTGCACGGAGACCATAGAGCTTTTGTCTCCATCAGTGAGACTCTAGCTCATTTAAGTGTGGATGGCTCCACAGGCCCAGGAAGAAATCTCGCTATAGTAAGTTCATTGCTGCTGAGCATTATGGTCCTGACACAGTTCCAGCATGAACTCGGATGAGAATGCCGCTTGACGTGTTCTGTTAGTGGAGGCATGACATCACATCCCGTGGGCTGCACCTGGACAATAGTTGAGGAGGATGATAGGTTGGCTTTGAAAATCCTATTTCCAAGGTGCATCACTGGTTGTAGTATCCTGCAGGAATTGAATATGGCGGAAACTCATGAGTCAACAGATCTGCCTTGCTCTCGAAGCCTTGATTACAATTTCCCTGAAATGGTTCGAGGCCTCTTCGCCATAAGAGCTGCCGGATAAATATGCCGATGACCATCAATGAGGGATACTAACATGATGTAATAGCGAACCAAGGTAGCCTATTTGTCCCATGCAAATAAATTCCTACTGCTTGCTCCATCGTAGTTATTATGGCAACAAACGCAACCGCGGAATTTGACAAGCAGAATACCGATACGGACGACATCCCCCAAGGTGGTGATACCGTTGACAATTCGTATGCTAGTCGTCCGGATTAGAGGTAGGTACCGGTCTTAAAGGATGAAACTCCGGTTGAGCAACCAAACGACGCGCGAAACCCTAATTCAGATGAGGCCCTTGGCAAGTATATCTTATATTCTGATTCGACCTTTATTAACATTAATTTTAGAGCAAGACGAAGCCGAAGCGATCGACAAAGGTAACATTGTTAAGGGTGGTCGTACTCGAGGAGCAACGAAGCTATTAGGTACCTATCAAAACCCAAAGGGCGAATGAGATCTACCTGCCAATGACGGCACTTCTGCTGTGCGCTGAAGGAGTGGCAGACATAGAGATAGAATGGATTGTGATGCTAGCTACACGATGCACAACGCTCTTGGAGCATCTACCGGGAATGAAGCTTAATCTGTTAAGCAGACGCAAATAACCGGTGTGCGATCAGTAGTGATTCCTGTAACTTATAACAACTTCAAACTAGCAGTATTGTTGACTGTAGGATCGTCCATCCTATCATTCCCCTGCTAAGCTCTGTAACCGCGCAGACGAATTCGTAGCTGTAGGCCCCGGTGTAAGGAAGCATAATTCCTGCAAGAGGCGCCGTCACATATACTGCAACTCATCAATTATGTGAACCATCAACAATTGACCTTCATCCGTACGTTCCCCGGGCATAGTTTCAGGTAGACGACCTCTTTTCTCCAGCGCATCATTAGATCAAACGCAGTCTGAGTCTCTAATATTTTGCCACATCGGGGCTACCGCTACATTACTAAATCATATGGATTAGATTAGTCGGCGACTCAAAGCGACAAATCCACTCCCCAGCCAAATAGGTTGTACAACAGGTAAATTTGCTGATCACTAAGGACTAAGATACCCATGTCCAAAATGATCAAAAGGTGTAAATGCTGTTCACTATTTTTCACATCCCCAATTGCAACTTTTGTCTTGAATCCGGTGTGGCGATATACTTAGGGCTTAATGAGCGGAGTTATAATCCACGCAAAAAAGCTCCATGATCGACCGTTCTGCTAGATCAAAAGTATGCACTCGCTCTTCGGACCCGCTCCTATTCCTCTAGAACTCTTGTTTAGGAGCTACTGGTGGCGGAACCCCCCTTCTTGCCAGCTTCGCTGGCCTTCTGACTGCCTGGCTCGAAGGAGCCACTGGAAGCCTGACCTCCCTTGGAGGCAATCTCACGCTAAAGACATAATATTAGCACATACATAAGGAAGATGAAATAGGAAGCTGAGGCTTAATCGGACATGATTAAGATACTTTACATACCTGCTTGTCAGGGTCCATAGAGGCAAAGCCGCTGTTGTGGCTGGCTTGACCACCTTTGCTTGCAATTTCCTGAACTTCTTCCTTGGGGCGGTTTGCGAAGTTTCCTGGGTTGTCGTTGCCAGACATGTTGATGAGTATAAAAGGCGTATGGAGTGATCAATTCTGTGTCTTGCTAATTGTTGTGCTAATGATCATGAAAACCGAGACTCTATTCTGATCATCTCAGCTTATTTATAGCTGAAGGTAAGGATGACATCACTATGAAATGAGATTGTTCGGATCCTGTTGTAAAGATGATAATACGCCTCCTGATGCTCGGGAGCATGATCCGGACACCGCTACCCACTCGATGATGCAAGTCGACGGGTGTGGCAGGGTGGGCTGCCTAGCCTGCAGCAGCCTAGGGAGGGAACACCATGGAACTCCACTAGTAAAAGGTAGTGCTTCTGTGGCGATAGAAAGCACCAAGGCCTTAACCATAAGAGCACCAATCCACACATCCGAAGGTCGATCAGAATGCACCCTAAGTAGACTTCGCGGGATGTATGGACCCAAATGGTCGGTAAAAGCTGGCAGAAGTTCATATATGATGCGTAAGCTCATACTGCTGCTTGTATGATATCACCATAGCACCTTGAGCGTAGAACTCAGCTTCCTCTGTCGAGTAGTATCTGCACACTTCTCCGGACACATTCTTATCTTTGCCGGTAGATGCGTATGGCACATTAAAAACCGCAATACCAAAACACCTAGAATTCGTCTCCCTGAGGAAGAAGATACCACTTAGCCGATCAATTCGAAAGCTAAGAACCACCAAAGCAAGGTCTCCTAGCAAAGATAGTGCTGGTGAAGCGGTGCCCGTTGAGCATCGCTCTTCATATTTCAGTACAGTGCATGTATCATCTATGTCCCTCCCGAAAAAGGTTCGCTTCATGGGTCCAACTGTTTTTCCTCCCTTCTATCATATGTCGACCGGACTGGCCGTCTCGCTGAGGAACACTCAGACTCTCGGTTTCGTACTGGGGCAGAGGGTCTGATGATGGCCGATCTGAGCAACATAGAGTCTGCGTGGTACTCGAATGGTGTTCTTCGCGAACTGGGTTGCAGCTGGAGAGTGACAGCCCGTAGGTTTCATGCAGATATCCAAACTCAGGCATAATACCTATGGTTGCTGTCGCATGACCGAGCTAGTATCATCTCAGCAACTTTGGATCCAACCTCCCTAGGGCGATCGTTATGTTCAGTGTCGAACTCACACCCAGATAATATGGTCTACCATTAATGACATCTTGCAACAGAGGCGAGCCTCGATTATTGCCCCGATCTCTCTGTTTGAGCAACCCACGCCAACCAAGTGGTGGAAAATGTCCAATTGATCGTTTATTCGCAATCACTAGCTTCTCTCTCACTGAGATATCTATTTCGATGCCTGAATCCCCCGTTGTGTCATGGCTGCTGGTGGGACGTCCGCAGATCTGGATTGATGGATGGACCGATAGACTACGTCCTCAATATTGGAAGCCCATGTAACAAACGCATGACCACGTAGGAATATTAAGTTATGGTCGTTTAGGTCACGAGTTCCATTGATCCTGGAGTTGTTGCTAAGGACTTCTGCCATCGCGTCACCAAGATATTTATGGTTGATCAACAAGATATGTGCGGACCCAAGTGGTAGGCCATCATAATGTCGGCAGCATCGAAGATGGGATTGGGAGAGCGGAGGAAGCCGGCCATGAGATAATTGGGCTGTAACATACTTCCAGGGCTATTATATAACCAATATACAATCGAACTTTGAGGGTGCGAACGCACAACCCTCTGTACGCCAGGGTATCGGTCATAAAGAAAACCATCAATGTAGTGCTCGGAGAATTCAGGCACAGTTTGAACAGCCTGGCATCTATTAGATGGAAAAGCAACAGGGGAACAGTCTCTGACGTGCCATTGGTGGAGATCGGTCTTCGAAGAAACGAGGATAGCTGGAACATTACTTGTGAAGAGGTCGAAAGATCATGGGGATTGCGCACGGAGACACGGCCGTGCTCGTCCAGTATGCTTTGTTGATGGAAAATGTGAATCGCCGTAATGAGACGCGATAGAGTTGCTTCCATTTTGTTCAAGTGTCGGATTATTTTCAAGCGATTCCGAACGCTAGAAAGGCAACTGAGGGACACCTGTAAGGCACATCCTGGAAGAGCAATCTGCCAAGGGGTGTTATCGAATGGGGAAGATCACTGTCTGAAAGGGCTCGGTGACAGGTCATTGACTTCGCGCCCGATTTTGTTACTGCCTCTTGAAATGGCAATTGCTCAGCCTCACAACAGGATAATTTTCAATTTTAGATTCACAGGTGTGTTATATACTTGCGCTAGTATGACAAAGCTTTC